GCCCCAGGTGATCCAGGACTGATCCAGGACAGCCCCAACACTCCTGTGCCATCCTGGCGCGCTACGAGGCGCGCCACGGGCAGATCTGAGAGATTTGGGGAGTTTGGGATCCGCCTGGAGGGGTTTGGGATGGCTCCAGGTGATCCAGGATGGCCCCAGGTGATCCAGGACTGATCCAGGACAGCCCCAACACTCCTGTGCCATCCTGGCGCGCTACGAGGCGCGCCACGGGCAGATCTGAGCGATCCCGGGATCCTGGAGGGGTTTGGGATCTGCCTGGAGGGGTTTGGGGTGACCTCAGGTGATCCAGGATGGCCTCAGGTGATCCAGGACTGATCCAGGACAGCCCCAACACTCCTGTGCCATCCTGGCGCGCTACGACGCGCGCCACGGGCAGATCTGAGCGATCCTGGGATCCTGGAGGGGTTTGGGATCTGTCTGGAGGGGTTTGGGATGGCCCCAGGTGATCCAGGACTGATCCAGGACAGCTCCAGGTGATCCAGGATGGCCCCACGTGATCCAGGACTGATCCAGGTGATCCAGGAGTGCCCCAGGTGATCCAGGACAGCCACAGCGCTTCGATCCAGGATGGCCCCAGGTGATCCAGGACTGATCCAGGACAGCCCCAACACTCCTGTGCCATCCTGGCGCGCTACGAGGCGCGCCACGGGCAGATCTGAGCGATTTGGGGAGTTTGGGATCCACCTGGAGGGATTTGGGGTGACCTCAGGTGATCCAGGACTGATCCAGGTGATCCAGGATGGCCCCAGGTGATCCAGGACTGATCCAGGACAGCCCCAACACTCCTGTGCCATCCTGGCGCGCTACGAGGCGCGCCACGGGCAGATCTGAGCGATTTGGGGAGTTTGGGATCCACCTGGAGGGATTTGGGGTGACCTCAGGTGATCCAGGACAGCTCCAGGTGATCCAGGAGTGCCCCAGGTGATCCAGGACTGATCCAGGACAGCCCCAACACTCCTGTGCCATCCTGGCGCGCTACGAGGCGCGCCACGGGCAGATCTGAGAGATTTGGGGAGTTTGGGATCCGCCTGGAGGGGTTTGGGATGGCTCCAGGTGATCCAGGACTGATCCAGGTGATCCAGGAGTGCCCCAGTTGATCCAGGAGTGCCCCAGGTGATCCAGGATGGCCCCAGGTGATCCAGGACTGATCCAGGACAGCCCCAGCGCTCCTGTGCCATCCTGGCACGGCACGGGCAGATCTGAGCGATCCCGAGGGTCTGGGATCCGCCTGGAGGGGTTTGGGGTGGCCCCAGGTGATCCAGGAGTGCGTGGATGGATTTGGGGACAGTTGGGAGAGATCTGGGACAGCTCCAGGCGATCCAGGACAATCCGGGATCCCAGCCAGGATCCGGGACCGGGCACAGCACCGGGATTGCGAGCTGGATCCAGAACCCAGTGGGGAGATCCAGAACCAGGACCCAGAACCAGGATCCAGTGGGGAGATGCTGAACTGGGACCCAGTGAGGGGATCCAGAAGCGGGGTCCTGGATCAGGACCCAGTGAGAAGATCCAGAACTGGGACCTGGAACCAGAATCCAGTCAGAACCAGAACCAGAACCCAGTAACTGGATCCCAAACTGGGACCCAGTGGGCAGATCCAGAACCGGGATCCAGTGAGGAGATCCACGACTGGGACCCAGCACCAGAACCCAGTGGGGAGACGCTGAACTGGGACCCAGTGATGGGATCCAGAACCAGGATCCCGAACCAGAACCCAGTGGGGAGATCCAGCCCCGGGATCCAGCACCAGGACCCAGCAGGGAGAACCAGAACCAGGATCCAGAACCCAGTGGGTGGATCCAGAACCAGGACCCAGAACCAGGATCCAGTGAGGGGATCCAGAACCGGGATCCTGGATCAGGACCCAGTGAGAAGATCCAGCACTTGGATCCCCTGAGGAGATCCAGAACCAGGATTCGGAACCAGAACCCAGTGAGAAGATCCAGAGCCGGGATCCAGCGGGGAGATCCAGCACCGGGATCAGAACCAGGATCCAGAACTGGGGTCAGAACTGGTATCCAGAACCGGGATCCAGTGGGGAGATCCAGAACAGGATTGGGAACCAGAACCCAGTGATGGGATCCAGCACTGGGAACCAGAATCGGGATCTAGCTAGGAGATCCAGGATTGGGATCCAGAGCCGGGATCCAGCTAGGAGATCCAGGATTTGGATCCAGCACCGGGATCCAGTGAAGGGAACCAGAACCGGGATCCAGGATTGGGATC